CCACAAACTGGCTGGCCACTTACTTTCCTGGGCAAGCACCAATCCGGCCGTGCCCCTCTCCCCAAAGCCAGGAGTGTTCCCTGCTCGCGCACCCGGGGTGTGGGAGCCCACCTCGGCGGGTGATCTCGGCCCGGAGCAGCCCCTCCATGGCATCGGCCTCGGCCAGGTCCAGGGCCAGGTCCCCGTCGCTGTTGACAGCAGCGATGTTGGCGCCGTGGCTCAGGAGGTACCTAGGGGCAGGCGGAAGTCAGGGGGGGCCAGGTAGGGCACCCGCCGGGGACTCCCTAGCACTTTGGCCGCTCACCTGGCAATGTCCAGGTGGCCACAGGAGGCAGCCACATGCAGAGGCGTCCAGCCCTCATTGTCTGCCTGGTTCACAGTGGCACCCTGTTCCACCAGAAAGCGCACCACCTCCAGGTTCTCGTCGATGCAGGCCTGGGGGCGGGGTGCGTGTCAGCCACGCCCAGGGGCGGAGCCAGGGCACCCAGCCGGGTTGTGCCCCCTGAACCTGGAGCAGGGTCGTTTCATGGGGGTCCCTGAGGAAGCAACTCCCACGCCCTGCGTGCCCAGCTGAGCCACGAGGCCAAATGAGCATCGGGGGCAGGCCGCCTGGGGACACCCGTCGAGGGCTTGTGCCCAGGACCCGAGACTCGCGCCCATCCCTGAGCATCCTCCATGCGCCAGCCACAGTGGACATGGAGGTGGCCATGATCCCAGCTCCAGCTCCAGAAGAACCAGAGATCAGGAGGACCCAGGGACACCGACACTGGACTCCTGGGTTTGCTGATGGAAGCGCCCCACAACACCTTCACCTCTCCCCGGCGGCCGCTGGAGGGGGAGGAAGCGACGAGGGCCAAGAGCATGAAGTCATGGAAACTCAGGCCGGAGAAGGGGGCGCATGCCCTGGGAACGGGATGAACTCTGGGCTCCGTTTATTTCCACGAGGTTGTCATGGTGACGGGGGGGGGGGGGGAGGTGGCGGGGAGCAGAGCCTTTCCCTTTCAAGGCCCTGCAGCAGCCGGGAGCTCACCGGAGGACGCTGGAGCCCCCAACCCTGCTTCCACCTGGGCAACCCTGGCCCCCACCGCCCCCACCTCCACACCCTGGAGACCTCAGCAGTAGGGACACTGCTGGCTGGGGAGGGAGTGCCAGCACAGGCTTCCAGGAGGGAATATTCCCAGCAACCCAAAGCTCAACCCCATCCCTTGAGTGCAGACCCTGGTGTCCCATGTTTAGAGATAAAATGAGGTCAGTGTGGGGCAAAGCATCAGGAGCTGACCAGCCCCCCTCCTGAAACCAGCACCCCCAATCCTGCTGGCCTGCTGCAAAGCCTGAATGGAGGCTGTGGCAGGGGAGGCCCCCAGAGAAACAGGCCAGCGGGCGTCTGGAATCCAGACCTTCGGGGTGGAAGAGAACACCTTGGGAGCACTGGGGTCCCCAAGGGGGAGCACCGAGACCAGGTAGCAGCTTTGGTCCTGAAAGGTGCTCCCAACATGAGGCCCTGCAGGGAGGGGGCGTCAGGGATGGAAAACTCAAGGCCCAGAGCAGAGAACACAGTAGAGACACAACGTGGGATGCGGAGGGGCTGTTCTCTCTCAACTGCCCCCTCCCCGGGCCCTAAGGAAGGTCTGGTCACCCCTGCCCCCAAGATCCCTTCTGGCTCCTTTATTATGGTAACCAGGGATTCTGGGGGCAGAAAGCAGGGCAGGGAGGAGCCATGTTTGGGACACTGGCACAAGGTAGTCATTCTACCCCTGGGTAAGGTGCCTGGAAGCCCAAAGCAGGTGGAACCCCAGGGCAGACAAGCCCTGGTTCTGGGATGCATCACAGGAGGCTGAATGGAGGCCATGCCCTGCTGTGGAGGAAGTGGACAGTGTTCAGGAAAGAAAGGTGACAGGAACCACAAGAAATTACCCAGGCCCCTCAGGCAGAGGGAAGAGCACCAGAGGCAGAGGGTGACCCAAGTCAGGCACAGGTGCACTAACGCTGCCCCAGAGGGGGGAGCCCCAGGGCCAGGAGGGGCTGGGCAGGGAGAGCAGGGCTGGAGGCAGAGGTGGAACAGGCCCAGGAAAACAAAGAAGGGACCAGAGAATCAGAGGGCACAGGGGTGGGGAGTTGACTTCGGCTAGGGAGCATCCTGGCTTCAAGGGCACGAGCTGGTATAGAGCCTAGGACCTGAGTTAAATTCCCAGAAGAGGGTCCCCAGAGACCCACCAGGAGTGATCCCTGAGCACCTCCGGGATGGCTCAAATTCCATTTCTCCGTCCCTCCCACCCCCTATAATAATGGCTCAGGATGGAGCGTCCCTAAGCAGCAATAGATGTGGGAAACGAAGGAAGACGATGGAAGAGGCAGTATGAAGGATGTGGGCCCAGCCGAGGTGGCCGACGCCAGAGAACGGGGAGGGGTGGGGATGAGGGGCTTGTAGAAGACCCAGCTCGGGGAAAGCGGTACCTGCCTGGCAGGGGAACCCAGCGCGACAGGGGGGTGGAACAGTATTGCCAGAAGAGGTGGCACAGGCGGAGCTTGAAAAGGTGTCGCGGAAAGAGGCGGCAGCATTCGGTGGCAGAGCAGAAGTGGCACAGACGAGACTAGCAAAGGGCGCCGCGGGGTCCCGGGCGAGCGCAGCTCACGCAGCGGCGGCGACCAGGGCCGGATTGCTGAGCAGCCCGCGCCCGCCGGGGCGGCCGGGGTCCAGGGGGAGGGCAGCGCCGGGCGGCTCCGGAGTGGGCGCAGGAGGTGGCCGGGGAGCAGAAGGGGCTGCGAGGGGCGCCGGCGGCGCCGGGGAGGGGGCGCGCGGGCGAGCGCGGGAGCCGCGGCGGCGCTGACCTGGTGCAGGGCGCTGATGCCGTCGGCGTTGGTGGCGTCCAGCACGGCGCGGGCGGGCGGCGGGCCGGCGGGCTCGGGCTGGGCGCCGGGCTCGGGCGCGGGCTCGGCCGAGCACAGCATCAGGCGCGCCTCGTCCAGGTCGCCGCCCGCGCAGGCCGCCAGGAACTCGGCGGCGCGCTCGAAGCGCACGGTGCGGGCGCGCCGCTCCCCGGGCCCTGGCTCGGCGCCCGCCCGCGCCCCCCACTGCCGCAGCTGCTCCCGCCGCCGCTCGCGAGCGGCCGCCCCCGGGCCGTCCTCGCCGGACATGGCGCCGCCCGGCCGGCCCGGCCGCCCGCAGCGAACCAGCGCCCGAGCCGCGAGCCCGAGCCGCCGCCCGCCGCGGGGCCGCCGGGAACTGCCGCTCGCCCCGCGGCCGCCTTGCAGACCCCTCCCGCCCCCGACCGCCCGGCGTGCGACGTCCGACGCAGCCCCGGGGCACGCCGGGACTTGGAGTCCGTCGGCCGAAAGCGGTCCACGGGCGCGCTCGAGCCCGGAGCATGCTGGGAAATGTAGTTCTTCGTCTCCCGGAGCCTGACGCTCACAGGTTTCTGGAAGGAAAAAGACCTGGACGACCCCCGAAGCCTTAAAGAACACAGAACTGGTTTTTTGTTTTCCCCATAGCCCTTAGTTCTCCTCGCCCCGTGAAACGTCTTAGTCTGGCAGTTTTCCTCGGCTCTGTTCTACCAGAACCGTGAAGAAAGGGAGTTTTTGTCTTCTGTGGGTTCCTGGAACTGCACCCCAACAGCACCGAGGGAAAATGGTGCTAGAGTGAGTGAATGTGAACAAATGAATGAATGAATGAATGAATGAATGAATTCCAGGACTCCCTGCAGAGTGAGGAACTGGATTCGCAGCCCCACATCCAAAGCAGATCCACATCTAAGCCTCACGTGTCCCGTCTTGAGGGTGCACTCCAAGTTCGAGGCACAAGATTAGGCATAGGGAAGAGCCTCAAAGCACATGAGGAAAGTCTCTGCCTCGCGGCCAGGTCTCAGTTGGTACAAGTCAGAACCCTCAAAAAACAGAAAACTCAAGACAAGAAGCAAAGGGAGCAGAAGAGAGAATATAGCGAATGAAGCATTCACCTCTAGTGAAGCTGGTCCAGGTTTGATCCCTGGCATCATACAGGGTCCCCCCAAACCCTGAGCACAGGAGTAACCTCTGTGTGTAGTGGAGAGTGTGGCCCAAAATCCTAAATAAATAATAACCCCAAGGGCTGGTCCCTTTATCTTGGCCTCCTGTATCCCTTAGAGGGATGCCCATGGAACAGAAGCTAGGTGTTAGCTACATCCAGCTGTGTCTTGATTCCATTCCGCGCTTCTCTTGTCCATTAGAAGGTTTGCATTCTGAAACTTGTTTTCTCTAATTTTTAACTCTGGAAGGTCAAACTTAACCATTCAGCTAGCTGAGGCCCTTCTCAGGGCTGAGCCAATGGCCTCAGAATGGTGAGAGGTCAGAAAAGAGACGGCCTGCTGCCTCGGACAGTCAGATAGGCCACAGGGACACCACAGCCTCCTGAGACCAGTGGACATTGGGAATGCGTGCACGTGGGGCGCCTGCTCCCCTCCCTGGTGTTCTTAGATGCCTTGGAAGAGTCCTTTACACAAAGGACACAAACATGAAAAAATTCTCTTATCAGAGCAGCCTCACCTTCCTTCCTGGGATGGATCACCTGCACTCAGCCTGTCGGGCATGCAGCCCCACCCACAGCTTGTCAGTCACCTGGAAAATGGCACCCCTCCACATGGCACTCGCCAGCACTTGATGGGCACTGAGAAGTGAGTTGGACATCATTGGTGTATCCCTGATGGCCCCAAGCAACAAGCCATTAGAACCCCCACCCAATCCAGCCAAGTATGGTTGTGAGGGACTCTAACCTTGCTTGGAATCCCCCTGCACTACCAACAAGCTAAGTAAAATTAACTCATACCGGGACCAAAGAGATAGTACAGAGGTTCAGGCACTTGTTTTGGACGTGACTGACCAGATTTAATCCTGACACCCCATAGGGTCCCCTGAGCCCTGCCAGAAGGGAGGCCTGAGCACAGAGCCAGGAGTCAGTCACAGCCAGTGGTGACCCCAAACGCCCCCCCTCAAAAAAATAAAAGAAGACAAGTTTGAGCACAGACTGGCCTGCGGAGGAGCATTTATTTCAAGCTGTAGATGGATGCTCCAGGCTCCTGGGCAGCACCCAGTAACCCTGTTGCCCAGCGGGGGTCCTCACTTCCAGCGACCTCCAACGCGGCCCTTTCCTGCCCCCTTCCGGCTGCAAGAAAAGATCAGAAGCGAGAGGCCTCCGTGATCATGAAGAGGGACCCCGGTTCAAGGAGTACATCCCCAACATAAACCTGTCCACCCAGAAGAAGAGGTGGGGTAGAGGGCCCCAGTCACTTACAACTTCTGGGCATGGCTGATACGGTTGTACAGCACATTGATCTGCGGAAGCAAGGAGATGCTGGCACAGTCTCGTGACAGGCACCACCGCGCCTCACGACTCTCACCCCCACCAGGGTCCTGCCTCCTGCCACACGCCCCGCCCCCAGCAAAGCCATGCCTCTGCGCCATGCCCCGCCCACAGAAAAAGCCACGCCCTAGAAAAACCACGTCCCACCAAAGCTCCTCCCCTACACCACGCCCTGCCCCCAGAAAGGCCCCCTCACACACTTCCAGGGACTAACCCACCTCGTATCTCTGCTGCTTCATCTTCTCCATCAGATCGAACTTCTCAGACTCCAGCTGGTGGATCCAGCCCAGCAGCTCCTGTGCCTTTTCTCTGGCAGAGCATAGGGACTGTCACCCAATGGTGGTCAGCCAGGTTAGGGCTGGGCACAGAGGATGAGGGGACAGCCCCGAGCCACAGCAAGGGTGGAGGAAAGCAGGGAGAGGGTGGGCAGAAAGACCCCAGCTAGGACTCTCGCCTCCAGGTGACATTGGGCCCCTCTCGGCCCCCCGGGCTAGGTTAGTTGATGCCACCTGTACTGTGGGAGCTGGTGTCTGCCCCCCACTGCACGGCGGCCCTGTCTCTGAGCGCGCAGTGTTTCCAGGGTTAGCTCAGAGCTGGCAGGACCAGAGAGGTGGAGACACCTGCTCGAAGTCACAAACACAGCACAAATGGGCTGTGACCGGGTAGGGTAGGTCCCCTGGCTCTGTCCCCACCCCGTCCCTCTGCCCCTCCCCCACCTACCTGAGCTGCTCTTCTCCCAGGTAGTCGATGTTCAGAGGCTTCTTACGGTCTGACAGGATCCGCACTTTCATCTCCCGCCCCGTCTGGCGCTTACCCCGCTTCTGCTCAGCCTGAGGGAATGAAGGGGGTGTCCTGAGTGGGGTGTGGGCCCCTCCAAATGATTTCCCGGGAAAGGACACAGGCCTGCACAGCTGACCCAGAGCTCCCTCAAGCAGGGGCTCCCCAGGCTGCAGGTCCCACAGCTCACCTTGACCAGATAACCCCCATAATGCGCCCCCATGTTGGAGAGAACCTTCTTCTTCTTCGCGTCATCCTCGGCCCGCTTCTTGGCCTCTTCCTCCTCCTTCCGCATCTTCTCCTCCTGTGGGGGTCAGGGTCAGCCCCAGTCTCTCTCCCCGTGCCTGAGTGTCGGGGAGGGCCTTGGGGCCTCAGAGGGGCTCAGCCCTGCGCTGACGGAGGGGGATGAGTCTGGGGCCACTTAGTCAGACCTGCACGTGTTCCACCCTCAAGCCCTTGCTCCTCTGGGGAAACTTAACATGTGGGGGTGCCATCCTACACCTATCAGGGCCTCTGCGCCTGTGGTGTCCATACCCCATGGCTGCAAGTCACCCAGAATCTCTTGAGAAAATGCCCACTCTCTTTGGGTGAGGGAGGGTAAGAGGGGATGCGTAGGGATTCTCAAGGGCTGGGTGTGGGGCTGGAGCAATAGTAAAATGAGGAGGGCATTTGCCTTGCACACGACTGACTCAAGTTCCATCCCTGGCATCCCATATGGTCCCCTGAGCACCGCCAGGAGTGATTCCTGAGTAGAGCCAGGAGTATCTCCTGAGCACCACCAGATGCAGCCCAGAGCGCCCCCCCCCCCCCCCCCCGCCAAACAAAACAAAACTCAAGGGCTGGGTGAGCCTGGAGAAGTCAGATCATGTTCCTGGGGTCTGAATCAGGAGGCAGCGATCGGTCCCTGCCAGGCTTGGGGGCATGCAGCTGCACTTTGCCTTTATCCCCAAACCGTAGGCTTTTTCTGGAGAACCCCCTACATCTATGTTCAGGCAGCAGCGCAGGGAAAGGGATGTACAAGGGGGGGTGAAGGGGAGGAGACTCACGGGGAGGGGGTGCTCAGGGAAGGGGATGCGTAGGAGAGGGGGTGCACGGGGAGGGGATACCCGGGGAGGTGATGCGGGGAGGGGATGCAGAGGGTAGGGGACCATAGGGTCGGGGATCACAAGGATAGGAGCTACAAGGGGAAGGGCTGAGCAGGGAAGGGGCTGGGCGCCCGAAGGCAATTCTGGGTGGCGGGGCATCTAGTGGTAGAAGGAACCCGGGGTTGTGGGGCCGCCCACCGCCAGCTTCGCCTGCCGCTCTCGCTCCTGCTCGGTTCGCACGCGCTGCTGCTCGGCCCGCTCGGCCCTGCGCCGCTCCTGGGAGAGAGTCCGGGTGAGGGGCGCGGGCCCCGTCCCCTGGGTGAGCCCGCATTGGAGGAGGGGTGCCAGTCAAGAATGTGGGGAACCCCCTCACAATGCGGTCTTTCAGGGCGATGAGCTCCTCCTCCTCTCTCTTCCGCTGCTCAAAGTGCACCTCGATGAGCGTCTGCAGCTCCAGCAGGTCCTTCTCCACGCGCTTTCTGTGGATGTCCTGTAGGACCAAGCGCAGTCCAGTCCCGCCTACGCCCAGGCTCCTCCCCGCGGTCCCCCCTCCCCCGCGCGCACATACCCAGCGCGTCCAACAGGTGGCAGAAGAGCACCGTGCTGGCGAACTCAACCCCACCGGGCCTCATGCTCACAAAGATGGGGTGCGGGCCCCTGTACTCACATCGAAGTCCACTCGCTCCCCTTCTGGGATCTTGGGGGGCATCAGCGGAGCCACCGCGGGGCGACTGCATGAAGAGAGAGTCAGTTAGAGATGCCTCCCTAACCCTGGAATGTGACCCAGGAACCATTAGAAATGGAACCGGGGCTCCAGCACACCCCCTTTGTGCCATCAACACTATGATTTCTTCCTCTGGCCTGGAGATATGGGCATCACCTCCCTCAGGAAGCCTGCCTTGATTGTCTGGGGCACATATAGACTGGATCTGGGTCTGTCTCCCACCCAGGGCAGCCTGGGTCTGATGTCTCCAGACCAGTAGAGGTCCTGGTAGAGATTAGAGGGAATATCTGCTGAAAGTCCTCTATGCCTGTCTCGCCTTTGTCTCAATCTCCCCATCTGTAGCTTTCTCTGGACATCCATGAGGGCATTATGGGGAACCCCATGCCCCAGGCTCTCACCTTGGCTTGGGGCGTGCTTCCTCTGGGGGGATACAAAGAGAGAATTAGCAAGAGTTTATGTTTGACAACCCTAAGGAAGGCACCCCCAAACCTTGGCCCTCCAGGACCCAGGCTCCTTCTCCAAGCACTCTGCAGGAAGGATGTGGAGGCAAGGAGAGGGGAAAGGGGGGTGAAGGTCCCAGAAAACAGAGCAGCCACAGTCACGTTGCTCTGCCCCTACCAGGGGCCCTTGGGAATGGGAAGGGTCAGGATTCGGGGGCGGGGAAATTGTTAGAGGAACCCAGCAACAGAGACTATGGGGGCCTCATTGGTCCCCACTCCCACTCCTCATCCCAGGATTTGGGCCCCAGTCCCCAGCACCCCCAGCCCTGCGAGTGGAGCCTCACCTTCCTCCTCCTCCCCCTCCTCTTCCTCCTCTTCCTCCTCCTCTTGGTCCTTGTCTGCCTCTTCTTCTGGGGGCAGAGAAGGGTCAGGAGTTGGGCGTGGGGTTCAGCTGGGGACCAGGCCTCAGTACGATCTCATCTTCTCAGGGACCCTCAGGGATACCACCAGTTCTTTCCTTGGCCCAGCTGGGGATGGGGGCCATGGGACGACCCCTCATTCTCCTGCTGGCAACAACCCCTTGGGCCTCACGGAGGCTCAGCTCCTGGGATCCCAGTCCCCCAGCCAGCCCACTCACCTTCACAGAGGTCCCTGTGGTGGGGGGAAGAAAATACAGTGAGATGGACGAGGGTATGTCCCCACTTTTACATGCCCCCACCCACCTGCCCCATCACTCACTCAAATACCGGAGTCTCCAAGTCAGACATCATGGTGGACCTGAGGGGCCAGAGAGTGTATAGGGAGGATCTGAGGGAGGAGGCTGGGGCCTGACAGCAGGGTCTGGGGAAGGAGGCTGGGGCCTGTCAGCAGGGTCTGAGGGAGGAAGCTGGGGCCTGATAGTAGGGTCTGAGGGAGGAGGGGCTAAGAGACCCCTAAACCTCACCCAAGCTGTGCACTGAGGTCTAGTGGGCACAGTCCCAACCCCCCAGCTGTCCCCTTCAGTCTGGTGGCAGCTGGGGAACCTGATAGGAGTGGATTAGGAGGCTTTTGGGGACAATAGCCACCCACCTCCGTGGCTATTTTTGGGACATTGCAGATGGTGTCCATGGGACATTAGTCACCCCTCGACCCCTCCCCTTCAACTCCTGTCCCCCCTCTCTTCACATCCCCTTGTCCTCAACCCTCATCCTGCTCCCTCAATGCTTGGACCCCCAGTCTCTGAGTCTCCCTTATCCCAGGAACCGGGACAAGTCCCCCAAACCTTAAGGCTGTTTGTGATGCATTGTTTTGAGAATTAACAGGTCCTCATATCTCCAAAGCTAAGCACCCCATTCTGGGTTTAGGGGGATTAATTTTGGGGGTCACATCCAGAGCGCTCAGGGATTATCCCAGGTCCGGGTTCCCACATGCAGAGTATGAGAACAACCCCCTGCACCCCTCCAGTCAGGCCCCCATCCCTGATGCTCCCCAAGGTAGCTGGGCCACTGTCTCTTTGTCCCTTTGATCTTCATGCCTCTCAAATTCTAAACCTTAAAACCCCAAGATTTATATACCCAAACTTAGGGGCTGACTCATGACACCCCACATTAAAACATCCCAAATTCTGGTGCTCCCAGTTATAAGATCTTAGGTCTTAAGACCCCCAATTTCTGAACTCCCAAGTCCTTAGAAACTGCTTCTAGGCCCCAGATTCCAGATGTCCAAGGCCAGGTACCCCCTCATTTGTGAGATCCCCTTAGTTCTCCAAGGACTAAAGGAGTTATATTTAGAGAGTGCCCCACAACCCCCTCTAAATCTCCCATCTCCAAACCCTCGACCCTGACTTGTGCACCCCCTTCATACCCCTCCATCTCACCTCCTTACTTCGGGCCTGTGTCTGCAGAGGGTGTAGTAGAGCCTGCAGGGGACCAGCACCCTCTTATACCCCAGGGCATGAGGAAGTGATGACATTCCTGCCTCCGCCCAGCCCAGCTGCGTCCCTGCCCCCTGCCCCCCCCATCTTCCAGCTCAGACCGCTCTGAGCTGGCTCCTTATCAGCACCCCCAAATCCCAGGCTGAGTTTGGGGGGCCCCTCTGCTCTAGCACACAGGCACCCAAAGGAGCATGCACAGAACTGGGGTGCCAGCTCCCCTCTCCTGGACCCTTCTCAGCCCTCTCCCACCCTCACCTCTTTGTTTGTCCCCCAGATTCCAGCCTGATGAGATCAGGCACTAAAGTCGGGGAAACAGGTGTGCGGAGAAGGGGGGAGGGGAGTCAGGCCTGGAAGGCCTCCCTGCATGCCCCCCACACTCCACCCACAGCTGCTTCTCCCCATCCAGCCAAGCCTGGGCCTCGATGCTGGAGTGGGCCGCCAGCCCGGGTGCGGGTTCCTGGGCTCTCCTTCCAGTGGGCCTCTTGGTGCTCCGTGGCACTGTGGTGTCCGTGTGGGGCTCTCTGCATCTCCCTTCGGTTCCTTCACTGTGCATGTCTTTCCAGTTGGGTTGGGTTTAGGGGGCCACCCCCAGCAGTGCTCAGGGGTCACTCCTGGAAGGAGCATATGGGGTGCCGGGGAATCAAACCCAGGTCAGTCGCTTGTGAGGCGCACACCTTCCCCACTGCTGTCACTCTGAGCCCTTCCACTGTCTCAGGGGTGCTGTGGTGCATCAGCAGTGTCCTGGGGCCTCTGTCGTGGACTTTCCCTCTGGGGATTCCTGGGACTCTCCTTTGCCCTCTGGTCTCCAGCTTGCCTCCCCCCCACCCCCACTCCCACCCCCGTGTCTTGCTTTTCAGCCTCGGCGTCAGCCCCAGATGGGACAGAGGAAGTGAGAACACGCACATGGAGCCTGCCCAACGTTGATGTGATGCCCCCCAGCCAGGCCCAGCCTAGCCTAGCCCAGCCCAGCCCACCCCAGCCCAGCCCAGCTCACCCCAGCCCAGCCCAGCCCAGCCCAGCCCAGCCCAGCCCAGCCCAGCCCAGCCCAGCGCCCCCCAGAGCACAGACACGGGCATGCAGCTCAGAGAGAAGTTTTATTCTGCAGGTGGTGCCCAGCCAGGCGGGCGGCAGCTCAGCCCTCAAACTTCTTCTTGCGGCCCTCCATGCCACTCAGAGCGTCGATGTTCTTGCGCCAGTCTCCCACCTCCCGGTTCTCCTGAGAGACAGGTGGGGTTTGGGATCATAAGCCCTCCCTCATCTATTCCTCGCAGCTGCCTCGCATCTGCCCTGCCAGCAGCTCTATTCTGCCTGTCCGATAGGTCTGTCTCTGAAAGGAATCTTTTTGTTTTTCTTTTTTGGTTTTGGGCCATACCTGGAGATGCTCAGGGGTTACTCCTGGTCTGCATTCAGGAATTACTCCTGCTGGAGCTTGGGAGACTATACTGGGTGCCAGGATTGAACCTGGGTTGGCTGCATGCAAGGCAAGCACCTCCCCCCTGAACTATCTCTCCAGCCCCCAGGAATGAGTCCTGTCCTCTCAATATCTTCCAACTTGCCCCATTTATTTCCTGACTCTCTCTTGCATACTTCCCGTTCTCTTCACACTCTCTCCTGCATACTTCCTGTTCTCTTCACACACTGCCTTGCAATGCACCTCCTGTCTCCCAATGCACTTCCTGTCTCCCTCATGCACTTCCTTTCTTCCTTATGCACATCCTGTCTCTCAATGTATTTCCTGCCTCCCTCATGCATTTCATTTCAGTGCACTTCCTGTCTCCCCATGCACTTCCCATCTGCTTGAAAATGTCTGTCTTACCTAACACTTGTCTTTCCCCTTCCTTCTCCTCACTTTCATGCATTCGCTCCCTCCCTGTCTCCCTGTTATACTCCTGTTCCCCCTTGTAATAGTGCTACACCCTGGAGCCCTACTTCCTGTATTCCTCACTCCATGCTACTTCCTTCTTCCTAATGATGTCCCTGTCTTCCCCATTCTACTTCCTGCCTTTCTTGTGCTTCTCCTGTGGTCCCTCCTAGACTTCCTCTTGAGAACGCTTATCAGATGCTTTTCCCTGCAACTCCAAGCATGTTTCTTCCTCTTCTTTTTTTTTCTTTTTGGGTCACACCAGGCAATGCACAGGGGTTACTCCTGGCTCATGCACTCAGGAATTACTCCTGGCAGTGCTAGGGGGACCATATGGGTTGCTGGGAATCGAACCTAGGTCGGCCGCATGCAAGGCAAACGCCCTACCCACTGTGCTATCGCTCCAGCCCACCAAGCATGCTTCTTCTGCCCTCAGGCAGGGCCATACCTACTCCCCAAAGCATCCCATTTCTGGAGCTGGCTGCACTCACCTTCTCTGTGTCCTCCTTCTTCACCTGCTTGAGGTTGGCCCGCAGGTCTAAGGACTCTTTGGGCCTGGTGCCCAGCAATGCCTGCATCATGGCGTCCGCTGAGATCCGCACCCTCCTCAGGGTGGGCCTCTTAAACTTACCCCGAAGGTCAATGACCTTCTGGGTGAGATCTGCGATCTGGGGAAGACCATGGAGGTGGTGAGACCCTGCCCCACTCTTGTACCCTAAACTCCCCCCTGAGATTCCACAGGACACTATCAGGCTTTCCCCAGCTCAGGCTCCCACCACACGGCAAAACCCAGTTCCTGGCACTGGGCCTGGCGTCTCGACCCAGCCCACACACATCTCTGCTGCCATCGCTGGCCTGGGCTCAACCAGCAGCACTCCATGCATCAGACACGTCCCAGAGGGGCACATCCTTTCCCTCAGCTCTCCCTGGGCTGCTCCTGCCCTCACACTGGGCTCCAGCATCCCAAGCACGAGCAGCTTGGAGGCACTAGCTTGAAGCCTCGCCCCACGCCCCTCTCCAGACACTGAAGGGTCCTGTATGCCCAGTGCCCCCACCTCCGAGATGTTCTTGGTGACTTTAGCCTCCACATCATAGCGCTCCTCGTCCACCTTATCCACTTGGGCATGCAGCTGCCGGCACAAGTCCTGGGAAGGAAGGTGGTGTGTGTGTGAATGGGGGACTCTGGGCCATCATCCCTCAGTCTGATGGAGGACGCTTAGAGGCAAGGAACTAACTAGGGAGGCAGAGCTGAGGGCCTAGTCAGTCCTAGGTGAAATAGACTAAGTGAAATATTTTATTTATTTAAATTATTTTTTCGCTTTGATTTTTGGGGAGGATGGTCACACTTAGTGATTCAATGGTTACTCCTGGCTGTGCACTCAGGAATTACTCCTGGCAGTGCTCAGGGGACCCATACGGGATGCTGGGGATGAACCACTGTATTATCATTCTGTCCCCAACTAAGTGAAATAGTCCCAGAAGAAATAGAAATATTACAGCAGGTAACTGCAAAAGAGGGCCAGGACTGCACGCATTTCTCAGAATTAGACTGTAGGAACGAACCTCTGCGTTTTGAGACTGGAGCCAGCTGCAGGCCCAATCCAGACCTCCTGAGCTTGGAGACTGAACCCCAAGGTTCTGAGGGGGAACGACATGCCAAGGTGGCAAAGGTACAAGAGGAGACACCTCGATTCTCGGCTGGTACCTGCAGCTCGGTGAAACCCAGCCCAGCCAGTTCCAGCGGCTGGCACCGCGCGTTCAGAGCACGCCCCTTCTCTCCCCGACGCTCCTCCACCTCACGCTCCAGCTCCTGCTTGGCAATCTGCAGCATCAGGGTCTGCCAAAGGGCACAAGTGCATCAGGTGGAGACCCCGCGGTGTCAGCCGGGGGTCCAGGTCTTCCAGGATGCAGCCCTCCATGTCCGTCATCCCACAAACTTTCTCCTCCCAATAATGGGGGACCAAGTCCCACCCCCAGGCACACGCAAATCACCATCCCAAGACATCTTGGCACCTTTCCCAGACTCATCCACACCTTTAACTGCAGTTTTCTCGAGGCGGTGATCTTAGACTTTCTCTGCAAGGAAGGGTGAGACGAAGCAAGGAGGGATCAGGGAGAAGAAGACTACAAGAGAACTATAGCCCAGGTTTTAATTTGTTAGCTTTTGTTCGGGGGCCACACCCGGTGGTGCTCAGAGCTTACCCCTGGCTCTACACGCAGGAATCACTCCTGGCGGTATTTAAGGGACCATATGGGTACTGGGGGATCCACCCCATGGGCCACGTGTAAGGCAAACACCCACTCCACTGTGCTACCCCTCCAGCCCTAAAGGCTAGAGGTGGACCGGTCTCTCTTCATGGGAGCCACACCCCACACCGGGCCACCAATCCTGGCCGCTGCCTGGCTAGGCACAGCCCATCCTCCCAGAAATCTCCATTGGCAATGGAACTCTGCCACAGGCCACTAACTCTACCCGTTAGGCCACGAACCTGTAACTCCGCCCCCTGAAGCTTGGGCCCCACCCACAAATCAGACCCCGCCCCACCCGCTGTCCCGGCTCCCCCTGCCCTCCTTCATCGGTGCAGGCTGATCCCAGGCCCAGCTGGGTTTATAAGGTGCAGGCGCATCCTTCGGCAGAGGACAGCCCCCTACCCCTGCCGCACAGGAACCAGCCTGGTAAAGGCAGGGCCGTGTCCCGAATTGAGCCAAACCGGCACTCTCCAAGCCTTATCCTGGAAGGCCCGCACACCCTGGCCCCCTGCTTGGCCTTTCTGGTCCGCAGTCCAGCCCACGAGTGCTCACCGCAACACTGCGCCTGTGGGGAGACAGGGCACTGGGTCAGAGGTGGGACGTGAGCCCACCCAGCCCTCCCAGACAGACCCTGTCTCCATAGGGCCCCACCCCAGCACCCTGTCACTGTCACTGTTCTCCCGTTGCTTATCAATTTGCCCGAGCGGACACAGTAACATCTCCATTGTGAGACGTTGTTACTGTGTTTGGCATATCGAATACATCACGGGGAACTTGCCAGGCTCTGCTATGTGAGCGAGAAACTCTTGGTAGCTTGCCGAGGCTGTCTGAGAGGGGTGGAGGAATCGAACCTGGGTCAGCCACGCTGGCAGCATGCAAGGCAAATGCCCTACTGCTGTGCTATGGCTCCAGCACCCACGATTAGCAATCCACTTCCCACCCACAGTTGCCGTGCCTGGGCCCAGGTCCCCTTTCTAAGTCACACTCACTCGTCTGCCATGCTGGGGTCGGGCCAGGAGCTGTGGAGGCAGAGAAAGGGTCAGGGGCTGTTGGGCTGTTCGCGGGGTGACCTTGGAGGTTCTGGACTTCAGTGGTCTCCTCCGGCTGCTCAAGCCTCTCTGAGGACACTAAGATAAAGAGAGGACAGAGACTAAATATACTGCAACCACCCCCCCCAGCCCGCCCCAGAAATGCGATAAAGGGGCGTGTGACGGTCCCCGGGCTGTGCTCCAGCTGGATCGTTCTCCCTCCGGAGGCCTGGAACACTGACCTGGGTGAGGAGCACTCCGACCTTGCACACCTTCACCCCTCGGACCCCAGATGTGAACCCTGCCCCTCACTAAATAGCATGCTCCGTATGACTCTCTGTTCTCTACCAACTGTCAGTTCCAGCACCCCAAGATCTGTCAGTCACTGACTTCATTGCAGGACCAGGTGGGGGTGGTCGTAGAAATCCAGAAGTCTGGTGGCCATCTCCCCTCCTGACCTCTCCTGTCCAATTCTCCTCCAGCCCCGGAGACCAGGAAGGACACTTGAACATCAGGGCATAGTGTGGGGTAAGATGTTAGCATCGCATTCAACTGCAGTGGCTGGACCCTGGTTTGAATCCTTGGCACTACAGATGGTCTCCTGAGGTCACTCCTGAGCAGAGCTCTGCTGAGTGTGCCCCCACCTCCAACAAAAGAAAAAAGACGCAGAAACACAGAAGAGGACCGCTCTCTTTACTTGGGCCACGTGGGTGCTGGCCCGAGGTGGTCTGGGCCCAATGCGACTGAGGAGAGTAAGGCTGAGAATCCCGCAGGTGGGTTCAGAATTGTGGGGGGGAGGTCCTAATTCCAGGGCCTGAAGTTAGAAGGTAGAAGAGAGGGCCCTCAGTCTCTGGGGCTCCTGTCAGGTTCTCTGGTATGAAGGTCAGACTCCCTGTGAGTGAAGCCAAACCTCAGAGGGTGAAGCCTAACTCTTAAGAGGCTGGGCCCGGCCCCCAGTGGGTGGGGTCAGGGTTCCGGGGATGGGGCCAGAGCTTCTGGGAGTGGGACCAGGACTTCTGGGGGTGGGGCCAGAGCTTCTGGGGCTGGGACCAGGACTTCTGGGGATGGGGCCAGAGCTTCTGGGGGTGGGACCAGGACTTCCGGGGGTGGGGCCAGAACTTCTGGGGGTGGAACCAGGACTGCTGGTGGCGGGGCCAGAGTTTCAGTGGGTGGGGCTAGGGCATCTGAGGGTGGATCCTGGTAAATTCCGTCCAAAGCTGAGCCCCCAGTCTTGTAGAAACGGGCGAAGGTCTCCGAGGGCGTGGTGCCAGGCTGTGCGGTGAACCCAGCTGCCTCAGCCAGCTCCGTGACCCGGGCAGAGAATGCCCTCAGTTGCTCCTGCCGCAGGTCCACCAAGTATCTGGAAAGGATGAGCAGGATGTTTGGGGTGGCTTCAGGCTCCCAGCATGAACATTGCCAGCTCTGCAGCACCCTGACTCACTGGGCTAATTCCACAACCAGATGTCCTCCAGGGGCCACGCAGACCCCGAGCTCAGGGGTGAGAAGGTGGACCATCCTGCAGAGAGAAGAGGCTTTAGGGCTGAGAGAGGAGCTTGGAGCCTTCACTCCATCTCTCAATGGGGTCTGAGCTAGGGGCTGGGTGCCTGGACTCTCCAGCTGTAGGGAGGGGGAGGCAGTCCTGCCCCCCCCCCCCCCCCCGGCCCTCTTACCCACAGGCCACGTAGAGAAGTTGGAAGCGGCTCCTGTAGCAGGTCTTGAGATGGAGGGACTGAGCTGAACCCAGGGGCAGGAAATGAACAGTGAAGGGCTCTGGGGGGCAGGCTGCAGGGAGATAGCAGAGTTAGGCAGACACGAAGGTTGCTGCTGGCAGTCTGAGGGCCTTTCTCTTTGGCAACTTCTGGGAAATTCAGAGAAGTTTAGCCCATCTGCAGGCAACCACTTTACACCCCAGGCAAGTGAAACCCAAGCGGGGATGAGTCAAGGTCTATGGCCATTGGGCATCAAGACCCAGTGGAGGGAGGAATGGCAAGAAGGCAAGGCCAGAGAGGGAAGTCGGGGTGTCTCTCTACAGAGATGATCTGGGACTGTTCTGAGCCACTCAGACTTTGGCAGGTGGGATCAGAATCCACTGCTGCACCCCATTATGGCCCTCTGAGTGACCTGAGCGCCAAGCAAGGAGTAAACCCTGAGCATTACCAGGTGTCGCCCAAAGAAACAAAACAAAATAAACTCCATTGCTGCAATCGAGAATGGCCTCAGCATTCAGAAGGGGCCCAGGAGAGGAAGAGGGCCAGACAGGAGCACACTGCAAGGTGTTCCCACACTGCACTGGGAGGGGGCCAGGGTCATGCTGCATATACAGCCTGAGGGTCACTCACCTGGGCCAGGGTCCCCTGCTCCACACTCCTGCTCAGGGTCCCCCTGGGTAGCTCTTGGGTGCTCCCGAGCGCTCACAGCGCGAAACAGCTCCATCACGTTGTGTTGGGTTATCTCACCTGCAGTCTGGCCAAGGGAAACACAATCATGCCCAGAACAAGAGCCTGAGCAGAGCCCTCTGCCAGCCAAGCCCCCACCCGCCACCCCAGAGCTGTTACCTCCCAGGAGAGCTGTATTTCCCAGCCTGTGCTGAGGAAGTATCTCTTAGGTGGAGGAGAATCACCAAAACGAGGTGCAAGGCTGGGACAGGCTGGGTCAGAGCCCAGCTCCCTAGAGCGGCCCTCACCTTTACCGGCTGCCCATTGCTGGTCTGCAGGAGGCTCTGGTCGTCTGCTTCGATGCCAAAGGCCACGAAGGGCCCTGTGACAATGTCCCCCCAATACCCGCGCGCGGCAACGCGCTCCCCCCGCTGGAAAAATCGGGAGAAAGAAGATGGGCGAGGTCACTGCTGGTGACCCAGACTGGGGGTTGGTGTCCAGCAAAAGTCCCGAAGGGCAGGGAGTGGGCACGCACATAGCTCACGAGGTGGCCAGATGCCAGGGTCCGGTTGGGCATAAGATAGGCGCCAGAGTCTCTGAGTTCAAAGGCGACACCTGTGTCCCTCCAGTGACGGTACTCACGGGTGTGGATGACTCGGGCCTGGGGGACGGAAGGAGAAACACACCACAGGTGGTCTTACCAGGAACCCTGCCAGCTACCCTGCCCAGCCGGACAGGCCCCGCCCTTCTCCAGGACAAACCACGCCTCTTCCCCGCCCCTCCTCCCTAACAGGCCCGCCCCCGCCCCGCCTCCCTTCCCACAGGCTCCGCCCTCCTCCCTCCCCGCAGGCCCTGCCCCGCCCTCACCCCGCGCTCATGCAGTTTCATGTGCAGGTCCCAGTCGCTGACGCCGCGCCGGGAGTCATAGCGGGACCCCAGGTAGTGGCGCAGTCGGGAGTCCCAGAGGCGGCCCATGGGGAAGGCCTCGGGTCCCTTCTCCCCGCCGGCCCAGAAGCGGAACACCGCCTCCAGGGCGTCGCGCTCGCGGAACTGCGGGGGCCGGGCAAGGGGAGATCACGGCGTGGTGACGGCCCCGAGAGGACAGGCCATTTCGGGTCAGGCCCGAGCGAAGCGGGAGGCTGGGGTCCCGATTCCCGGTCTCCGCCTCCCGCCGGGCTAACCTTCGGCCCTCGCGTTCCCACCCTCCCCGGGCTCCAGGGCAGAGACGGGACGAGGCCGGGCGGCGGCACCTTGAGGGCGCCCAGGCCGAGCCAGGGCATCTGCTCCGCCAGGCGGTCGGGCTCCGGGACCAGGTAACCCAGGCGCGCGGCCTGGGCGCGCACGAAGGCGGCCACCGGCGCGCGCAGGAGCGCGTTCCCCCACACCTCCAGGAAGGTCTCGGTCCTCTCTGCGGAGGGCGAGCGGGAGTGAGCGGCGCGTGACTCGGAGTCGGAGCCGGAGCCAACTCCCGCCCGCCCACCGGCCCACTGACCGGAATCCGGCGAGGAGCTTAGCCCCAGCTGGCTTCCTTTCCCTGTGCCCACTAATCAGGAACCCAGTCTCCAGCCCTATGTTTCAACTTTCTTTGCCTTATAAAGCAAAACTAGAAAGATGGAGATAGAGGCTGGAGCGTTAGTACAGCCGAGAGGGCGCTTGCCTTGCACGCGGTTTACTCGAGTTCGATCCCCGGTATCCCGTATGGTCCCCTGAGCACTGCCAGGAGTAATTCTTGAGTACAGAGCCAGGAGTGACTCCTGAGCATCGCTGGGTGTATTGCTGCCCCCAATAAAGATGGAGTTACATGGGTGTTAAATGCTAACGTGTTAAACTCCTATTTGACCTTTAGAGTCTCAGTTTGTCTCTCTCCCTTTCTCCCTCTCCTCTCTCTTCTCTCTTCTCTCTCCTCTCTCCTCTTTTCTCTCTCTCTCCCTCTCTCCCTCCCTCCTTCCCTCCCTCATTGTAGTTGTTTAAGGATCTTCCGAGGTTTGAGAGATCCTCAAAGGTAAGCTTGGTTTTAGATGTTTAAGTTTTACACAAAGAGCACTGAGAAATACTTAGAGTTCTGGATGTCCTGGATTTTGCAGCCCCACTTTTCTTTTTTATAGAGGGGGCTCACACCTCGCAATGCTCAGGGGTTACTCCTGGCTCTGCACTCAGGAGTTACTCCTGGCAGTGCTGGGGGATCATATGGGATTTTGGAGATCAAATCCAGGTTAGCCACGTGCAAGACAAGTGACCTTCCTGCTGGACTCCAGCCTCATCAAGCCACCCTTTCCTTTTCCTTTCTTTTCTTCTTTTCTTTGGGCGCAATATCCCATGGTGCTCAGGGCTTACTCCTGGTTCTGTGCTCAGGGATCACGCCTAGTGGGCTCTCAGACCATATGGAGTACTGAAGTCGAAGCTGAGCCAACTTATGCATGGCAAGTATGCTGTGCTCACTCTGGTCCCTTAGAACTCCATTTTGTGTGATTTGGTTGGGGCATCCACAATTGGACTGGGGGCGGCCAGGGACCAGCCCCAAGGTACTCAGGCCATGCTGGGCCAGGGATGGATCCAGGGCTGATGCCTGCAGGCATGTCTCCAGCTCTCTGAGCTATCCCCTGGTCTGGACCCCACTTGGTAAATGTAGCCGCTCAAGTACGTAAAGCAGTTGGTGCCACCTAGGGGCAAGCAGGAAGCAGAGCCTGATTGTGAACCTGTACCACCTGGGTCCAGACTTGGTTCTAAGTACTTAGCCCAAGCTGTTTACTGGAAGTGATCACATACTCCTCGTTTCCCTTTTCTCCTTTCTGTCACTTCCTCCAGGCAGAACTCCTGGAATTCACATCTCTAAGTGGTGAAACTTAAGGCTGAAGGACACATTGGACAAGAGGACCCCCAGGCAACTCCTCTCCACATTTGGAAGGGTTCCCTAACTCACAAGAGTTCCCTCAATCTCTTAGCATTCACTGTAGGTGGGAAGATTTTAACTTTTGCACTGTGTCTTGTGCTATTGAGACACGAGTGACTTTCCCCCTGAAATTCTTTAAATGGCTTAGGAGATGGAACATTTAACCCATTTTACAGGAGGGACAACTGAGGTTTACTCCAAGACAGACTGCCATACAAGTGAACAAGTGATAAACAGAAAGCAGTGATGCTGACGTTTCATCACACAGCAAAACGCCACAGTTCCCTACGGGATAGGGGAAGAGACTGAGGGGCGGGGGCCCACAGCACTCCAGAGCGAGCAGCTGACCTTGCAGCCCCATCTTCTCAGTTTCTTCCAGGGCCAGGCAGAAGATAAGTATATGTCGGGCCACGGCTTCCAGATTGTTCTCCAGCACATAGAACTGGAAGGCAAAGCCCAAAGACTGAGATCTGTGTTCTGTCCTGTAGGACACTCAGGACTGCTGGACCTTAGCCTTCCTTCCACTGGGCCTGGGGGGGCCTCTTTGCTTTAACAAGTCTGGACTTTCCGATCCCTCCTCCCCACCACAGCCCACCCGTTTGAAGCCAGGAGAACCCAACCCAGTCCCTTTCTCCCTTCCCAAATCATCTTCCTCCTGAACCTTGCTCTGCCCCAGAACCTCAGCTCACGTTGATCCTTCTGGAAGGCCAGAGCTCTGCCCGGGCCAGTGTCCGCAGCAGGTGCCGCCCGTCCACAGAGCCCAGAAGCAGCACATCTAGCTCGGGGGTGTAGTGCTCTGTATCAGCGCGGAAGTCTCGGTCCACAGGCGGACCTAGAGAGAGGAAGGGCAGGTTGGTCCCCGCAGGCACGCCCAGCGCGGTGAACTACAACTACCAGGAGGCTTAGAGCCCCTGGCTTCGATTCTAAAGGGAGTTGTGCCTTTATGCCTTCTGGGAAATGTAGTCCGCAGAGGCAGCGCTGACTGCCCAATGACTGTGGCGCCCCCTGCCGTTAAACCCTCAGAGAACATTAGAGCCTTTGGCTCAGGCTCCGTGGGCCACCGCCGTGTCCGGTGATCTGCGGTCTTCAGTCCTTAAAAGTTTTTTTGGGGGCGGGGGCATTCACTCACTTTCAGCTTGCAGGTCCAGCGCCGGGGACAGGCCCCACCAGGACACGGTGCCGAAGCCCATGCCCGATCCCGCTGGAGTGGTCATCACTCTGCGGGATAACACAAGCCGGAATCCCCCAAACCGAATTTTCGTCGCCTACCCCAGTCCCCTCTCCCCGCCTTGGCTCCACGTCCCTTCCCTCCCTGGGGAAACCCCTCACCTTTATCCTTCTGAAGATCTCGGGATTGGCGGGACAGGCACCCCCTCCACAGCCGCTGCCGATGGCCCCGCCCTCTTCCATCAGTCGGCCAATTGGGGTTCACGGACTGGCACGCCATGACCTAACTGACCAATAAAAGTGAGAAGTACACTACTTCTACAAACTTTTGTCCAATGGAAATGCGGAGGGGCAGTTAGGAGGCGGGCAGGAGAAGAGGGCATGTGGACGCGGTTGTTATGACGACCGAGCAGCTGTGCAAGAGGGAAGAAGTGGAGGGGATATTTTCGAGATGAGGAGATCTGGGCGGACTCAGATTCAGTCTTATAACGTGAAGAACCTAATTCATTCAAATTAATTAATTGAAATTTAAAAAACCAAATTTATTCTAATTAAATCCCCCGTTCAAAGGATAGACCTGTTTCTCCATACCAGGTGGGGACCAGCCTTTTGCGAGTGCCATCTAGAACTGGAAAATGGTGTTAAAATTTCAGGATTTGAGACCTGACTGTCACACATAGTCATTGCTTTAACTGATTTTGAGTTTTTACGGGATTCATGACTAAACATAAAATTCCTACTAAATAAATTTAATTAAAATAAAATTAAAAGTTATCACTCAAAACTTATCCTTTCCCCACTATTTTATTATTATAAAATTATTAAAAGGTATTTACAGTCATTATATTTGTCTGGAATAAATCCTATTTTAATGCAATAGCTTAGAAAATGAATCATGGGTGAGAGCAATAGTACAGTGGGTAGGACCTTGCATACAACCAACATGGAATTGGTCCTTGGCACCCCATATGATTCTCTGTGCACTGCCACAGGAGTAATTCTTTTTTGCAGTGTGTTGTGGTGGGGACCATACTCAGTGATGCTCAAGAATTACTCCTGATGCACCCAGGAATCCTGTTAGAGCTTGGGGGACGATATGGGATGCTAAGGATCAAAACTGGTTTTATGTCCCAAGCGTCCAACGCACTGTGTTCTCTCTTTGGCCTCTTCCAGGAGTAATTCCTGACTGCAGAGCAAGGAGTAATCCCGAACACCACCAGGATTGATCCCTGAGTGCAGAGCCAGTAATAATCCCTGCGCATCACCAGGTGTGGCCCAAAATCCAAAAATAAATAAAGAGTAGGGTCCGGTTACACCTTTCAATCTTTTTGTTGAGGCACAGAACCAGGACCCCTGGTGTCATCAGAAAAATCAGAACAGATTCAGTACCAGGATTCAGAGACAGATTCCTGTCTGTATAACAGTGAGCACATTCTATGAACCTAAATTCCTCATGTGTTAAGTAGTAATAGTCGTGTCAACATCGTGTATGACTGTGAAGATTATTAGTAATTGTAATAGCTCACAGAACTTTCCTTCTAAACTCTCTCTGCTCCTCACTCATGCATGGGAAGTTACCAAATTCCTTTGGAGGATATTTGGATAATCTCATGAATGTTGCAATGTGTTTCACTGATCTAGTTTCCTTTTTCCTATTGGCTACCAGAAAGTTCAGGGACCGATTTGTTTTGTTTTGTTTCAGGGGTATCACCCCAGAGGTACTCAAGGCCCACTCCTAGCAGCACACTGTTTAGGGATTGTTCCTGGCAGTGCTCTGGGAACTGTATGTGATACTGGGATCGTCACTGCTACAGCCAAGACAAGTCTCCCTGGCCCACATGGGGGTGCTTTTGCTTAATTTTCTGCTTAGCCCACTGTGTGCAGAACGTTCCTGGTCCTGAGCCTCTTTGGTGAGACAGGAAGCTGCATGTCTACTTCGCTTCCTTAGATCACTCACTTGAAGGTCAGAGTCTAGTTGGCATCAGTTTGGGATTCCCAAAAGAAGCAGACATGCAGACCTTCTCAAAGAGTACAAAATGGATGATGGAAGGACGAAGAAATGGAAAATAAGTAGGAATGTCTCTATAGCTTATGGGTGCAGGAGTGGGTAAATTTGTGGCTAAGTGGATTTTCATTTTAATCCTCAGAGGAGGGCCAAGATAGCACAATGGAGAGGGTGCTTGCCCTGCATGCAGCTGGCTTGGGTTTGATCCCCCACATCCCATATGTCCCCTGAGTCCTGCCAGGAGTAATTTCTGAGCATCATCAGGTATGTAACAGCCCCCAAATAATCCTCCTAAGGAAACACAGTAGGGATTGTTGTGGTACTTGTTTTGCAGTATAGGGGTCACCCCAGGTCCTTGCAGACGCAAAGTGGGTGTTATTATTATCACATTGTTTTCAGATGAGGAAAGTGAGGGTGAATAAGCAAGGGAATAAAAGGGTGGGAAAGTGGCTGGACAGACTGGCATAGCCCGTAGTGCAGCCCCATTTCACCTTCTGTAATTTCACTCTAATTAGGCCCCCCACTTGTTTCTCAGCCCCCGCACCCCCACACCAGTGAAGAACAAGGGGACCAGACCACCAAGTTGTTGAGTATTTATTTGGGTCCTAGGAGCAGTGCAGGAGATGGGGCCAGAGCAGGGATCCTGGGGAGTCTGAGGGGCCCTGGAGGAAAGGGATGCTGGGCAGGGTCCTGATTGTCAAAGCAGGGGGCACCCTAGGGGAATGTGGGGACTGGCAGCTTCCCCCCAAGGGTCCCTGGGTCTTCTGGGCAAATGTGTGCTGTGGAGTTGGCAAGTTCTGATGATTGGCAATGGTGGGTCTGATGGCTGGTCAGAGGTGTGGGCAGGGCTTTGAGGCCAGAGGCTGGGGCAGGCCTGGGTGTGCCACGGGAGCCCAGTCCCAGGAGGACTCATGGCAGGAGGGCAAGATCAGGGTGCGGACAGTGGCCTGACCCGGTCAGGGGGGCGCAGCGAGTGCCACTGAGCAATGGGCCGCCGCGGGCTGGCCAGCATGTCTGTCCAATGCCGCAGCCCAGCCCCGCCCGCCATCGCCCCCACGGCCACTCTCCCGATGGCCTCGTTCTTGCCCAGCTTGTCATAGTCCAGCACAGTTAGCTCCACCTGCACTTTCTGGGGCAGAAGAGGTAGAGGAGACAGGAGTTAGGGGTGAGGGCACACACGGAACCACACCCACAGATCCCTCCTCTGACAGGATTCAGAGGGGTTGGGCTAGACCCCGGGCCGGGGCTAGACCCTGGGGCCCTGTGCCGAGCACCCTCACTGAGGCCACCACAGGCCTCATAAACGTGTCAAGGGATCTCCAGGTCTCTTAAGTGGGGGACCAGCCAGCTGGTGAGGCCTGTTCCTGGAAGGTAGGAGAAATGTCTCCTTTTCCTAAGCCAGGGTTGGGGTGGGATGGGCAGAGCATCCTGGACCGAGCAGAGTCAGTTCTCAGGACGTGCCTTCTAGGGGTTGCCTGGGAGCAGCACTTCTGCTGTCCACCAGGTGCCATGGGTCGGCAGAGGCCAAGGGCAGACCTGGGCTTACCTGAACCTGGTCACAGGGCACCTCAAAGCTAAAGGCCTCATTGTAATAGGGGTTCAGAGTGTTCTTCTTAATGGTCGTCTTCTTCTTCCGCACCTTTTTACCGCCCTGCAGCAGGTGGACCTTGACGTAGGGGTCTGGGGAGAGGGAGAAGGGTCTTGACACCCCCACACCAGTGGGGGCACCAGGCCATACCATATGGAGACACGTGCTCCTCTGGGGTTTCATTTCTTGGTTGTGCCCAAGTCAACTTGTATCATCTTAGTGGCCAGCCGGGGCCACTCTTAGAGAAAGGACCTTGCACGCCAGAAACTTCCAGCCCCTCAGCTACGAGCACCCCCCAGTCACAGCCTCCCTCCCACATACCTGAGAGCCCGCCGACGTCCATCTTCTTCAGGTTTTTTGCCTCTAGGACAATGACGGTGAGCTTCCCAGCCGTGGGGACATAGCGGAGGGAAAAGCAGATATCCCCCAACTTCTCCTCCTACAGTGAGACAAGGGGGACCCAATACCAGAGGGCTCATCTCACAGCCTCGTCATCTCTGTCCTCCTTCCTTCCCTCCCCCACTCCCCCGCAGGGAAGGGCCCAGAGAGGGAAGTGCAGGCAGCAGGACCAACCAAGTGGGGTGGGGGGATGCAAACCAACCAGGGAGAGCTCTGGGGGCCGCCCCCACAGGGATGGGGGGTGTATCAGAGGATCTAACTGGCCAGGCTGGTGGGGGCAGGCCCGGGGACATGGCTTCATGCTGGCCCTGCTCTCACCTCCTCGCCAGGCGCTGCCTGAAGGTCCCGCCAGGACAGCACCGGCCGTCCCAGGTCCACCGAGCTCATAGGAACCCGCACCTCGCCAATGGCATCGTTGCGGGAGAAGCGGTCAAAGTCATACACTGCCATGACCAGTACCCTGCCCCCCAGCTCCACGTAGGGAACCTGGTGGGCAGGGCACAGAGAACAGAAGTCTGGAGGTGGCAGGTGTCCAGAGGAGCTGCTGAGTCTGCAGAACGCAAATGGGATAGCCGAGGCCCAGGAGCACAGCCCAGGGGTCATAGTGGCCTAAGGTGACAACCCAGGCTCCAGTGTGCCTGTCCTAGAGGTGGTGGTGGATGCTGAGCTCTGGCTGCCCTCGGGAAAGGCCGAAGGGTCCATCCTGAGAGTGCCAGGAACTGGGGCCCACGCATGGGGCTCACCTTGAAGGCGAAGGTCTCCGCAAAGTGCGGGTTCAGTGTCTGCCGATGCACCCTGGTCTCATAGCGCCTCCTCTTGTCAGGCAGCAGGTAGACCAGGACGTAGGGATCAGACGAGCCGCCCAGGTCCAAGGCTGCCAGGCCCTCCGCTTGTAGGATGCCCACTAGCAGCTGGACAATGGTGGAGGGCTAGGCTTAGCTTCCCCGGGAGGAAGGGGTTGCAACCACGTGGACTCCCCATTCAAAACCCCCTGCACACCCACCTGGCCGCTCTGGAAATCATAATCCAGTGAGTACTGGAGCCGCCCTAGCGCATGCTTCTCTGCGGCTGGCTGTCCTGACCCCAGCGGTGCCGGATCCAGCTCCTCCACTTCCGGCTGCACCTTGGAGAGCCAGAGGGAAGGGCAAGTGAGAATTCTTCAGGCCCAGAAGCCAGGGGAGGCTCAGGACCCTCAGCAGCACCTGAACTCTGTCTGCCACAGGCCCAGACCTAGCAGAACAACGTGGGCTGTGCCTGCTGATGAATTGGTGATGTTTTCCACCAACAGGGGTTACCCCTGACAATACACTGTGGGTTGTGCCTGTCAGTGAGGAGGGAGGCAGCGTGGGCCTGGGCCAGTCATACCTTGTCTATGTAGCTCAGGCCCAGCTCCTTCACTTCCTGGAGGTGGACCTGTGCTTGGGCTGGACTCTTCTTCGCCATCCGCCTCCCACATCGCCTCCGGTAGAGACAAAAACAGCAGCTGAAGACCACGAAGGCTGAAAGCAGTGTGATGGTGGCCAGGGCCCAGACAGGCACTGCAGAGAGCAGGGGACAGCAGATACTGAAGCCTTGGAGCAGCGTGGGGCTGCCTGCGCCCAGGGGACCCATGAGAGCTGGCATCCTGACCTTGCTCTCTCCTCCAGCCACTCCCCGTCATTTGATTTCATGCATTCTAGTCAACAGGTCTCACCTACAAGGCATTTTGGTGCACCCCGCTGATTTCTACTCAGCCCCTGATGCTTTTACAGTCCTATCCATCCTGGGGCTCAGTTTCCTCCCCAGAGGAGGGTTTGCTGGGCACCCAGGTTCCATTCCATCCCCCTTGATGACTTTCTTATGTGTGTGCTTTATTACTTTTTTGTGTGTGTGTGTTTGACCTACACACCCGGTGATGCTCAGGGATTACTCCTGGCTCTGCACTCAGGAATCACTCCTGGCGGTGCTTGGGGACCATAAGAGATGCTAAAGATGGAACCTGGGTCGACCAAGTGCAAGGCAAATGATTTCCCCGATGTACAATCGCTCTGGGCCCCAATTCTTTGGGTAAATACGTTCCTTTTTCATTTCTTTGGAATTCCAGCCGGGATCACCACTCTTTCCCAGCTTTCAGCTCGCCAGCCTGAGTCCACCTGTCCTGACACCGCCCCCTGGTTCCTGGGCAGAACTTGCCAGCTCTGCACCCAGGTCTTGCTCACCAGGGTCATGGCTGATGCGACTGGAGTCTGGAGGGGTGTCGGGCGCTGGAGGCCGAGCGGTTGGAGGCTCCGGGAACATGGCAACGGTCTCTTAGGCTCCTTTCTGGGGAGGCACCCAAACACAACAGCCCCCCCACGCCCACCCGTGCTTCCATTGAGGCCGCTGCACAAAGAACTCCAAGTCCCATGGGCAAGCGGGGTCGGCCCGTACGGGGATGACGGGATGAGCCGTCGCGAGGCATGTCGGGGATTGTAGTTTCAGCCTCTCATGCAAGCAGCGCGGACGCAGGGGCCGGGCTCCCGGACCTGGTTCCATCTTGAAGGGACGCCCTGCCCCTCCAAGGCTCCCGCAACAATCCAGCGGATTCGGCCCCGCTCCCGAGTCCGACCCGCAGGGTCAGAGGCAGGAGTGGGAGCGGGCGAGTGTGGGAACGGCGCGCCGGGTTGCTCAGGGCAACCGCGGGTGGAAGTAGCGCTGGTTGCCCGGGAACGGCGGTTGCCACGACGACGGGCAGGTCGTCCAGGGCAAGACTCAGGCTCCGCCCCACGGGGCCGGGGACCCCAGATCCCACGTTCCGCCCAAGCCAGGCTCAGGCCGGGTGGCTGTTTCCGTCCAACTGCGCGCACAGCTGAGTCCTCTCTCCACCTCTAGGCGCGCGCAGAAGCTCGGGCTCCCCCAGCCCTTCGCCGGGAATGGCGGCGAGCGGGGGTGTGGGTGTTCCCTCCCGCATCCCGAGCTCTTAGCGCTGCCGTCCTCACGACCCCGTGCTCTCCCCCTCGTCTGTGCGCCCCAGGCGTGGTTCTCCCTGGCCTATCGGTCGCCCCGTGCCCCCCTAGCCTCCCGTTCCCGGCTCTCGCACCTTCCCGGTGGTCTCTGGCTCTCTCCGCCTGCCCGTCCCCCTCCCCGTCTGGCTCTTTGTCTCCAAGACTATTTCTGAATCCGCCGTTTCCGGCTCCGGCCCTCCCACTCGCTCTGTCGGTGCGCCCGGGTCCCCACTCCAAACCCCACCCCGTGCCCCGTCTCCCTGGGGATGGATGAGATGGGGCTCAGGAAAGGGTCCTTGCAGCTCCTACCTGCTCGGCAGCTCCTCCTGAGCCTCCGCGGAGACCCAGAGGCCCCGCCCCGCCGGACCCCACCCCCGCCCCGGCGGCGACTCTGTCCCAGGTGCCGCTGGCTGGGTGGACGCGGGACGCTGCCCACGCGGATCTGGCACCGAGCGCGGGTCGCTATCCCCGGTGCTGAGCGTGGTGTCCCGTTCGGGGCCGCTGTCTCCGGTGCTGAGCGCGGAGCTCGTGGAGGTGGGGGGCACGTGTGTGTAGACGTGCGTGTATGTGCGTGTATATGCGTGTGTCTTTGTATGTGAAAACGCGCGTGCGTGTTTAGTTCCCTGTCAGTGGAACATCCCGCTCCGCCCTGCGTCCTGCCTTCCGTCAAATCGCCAAGGCACCCGTGGATATTTATCCTGGCTCCCCAGGATTTCCTTTTCTTTTCTCTTTTTGTTCTGGGGTCTCACTTGGCGGTGCTCAAGGAGAACTCCTGGTTCTGATTCAGGACTCACTCCTGGAGGGCTTTGGGGACTATGTGAGTACCAGGGATGGAACCTGGGCCAGCTGTGTGCAAGGCAAGCACCCTACTCTCTGTGCTACTGCTCCGGTTTCTCCCCAGGATTTCCTGCCTTCTGTTCCAACCATCTGGCATTCAGCCTTCTTCCACAGACTGGGGCAGCAGCATACACAGTCTTCAGATAGAAACACTTCTGCCAAACATGAACTATCCTGGCCCTAAGAGGACCCCCAGCATCCTAATGAGAGACATCACCCCTTCTTAACCCACGCTGAGTTCTGAAACCAGACTCCCTGTGCCTAGACCAGGACACAAGTGGCCATGTCCCTAGGATTTGGAGATGCAAATGGGCGTTTTTCAGAAGCAAAAATGTGGGTGTCTCTACTTTCCTCCCTGAGACTTTTGCCTCAGCCCCAAACATCAGGCACCCACCTCTATCCCAATGCTATTTCTGGTCCAGAAACTCACTGGCACAAATGTCTCTGGAAGGAGGGTGATTTAATAAATTACTGGATAGAAGGGCAATATATGTACAGGCTTCAGGGTGCAAGGAGCCCCAGATCCTCAAAAAGTGATTTAGTTTCTTAAGTATATGGAGGGCTGCATCTGGACTGTCCCTGCTTCTCAATCAGCCAGAATTGTGAACCCTCATTCCTGCTTCCTCAGACAGCAGTTCCTTCCTGGAGACCCTGAGGCTAGGCCACTCCCACCCCCAACACCACCATCTCCCACAAAGAACTAGGAAGTGCAGTGATTGTCTTGAAACCTTCAGGGACCCAGGATCCAGGCTCAGGTGGGTTCCTGGGGACAGCCCACACACCCAGACTCCTCAGGGAGCCGAGTTCCCTGCAGGGCCTCACAGTGTGGCCCTGGTGCCAGGGGCCCGGGAATCTGGGAGGAAGCAGAGTCTGTGTGTAGCTGGGCGGGGTTTCAGCTCTGCTCTCCATGGGCTACATGGCACCCATATTCTCATAGATTGTAACGTTCTCATACAAGGCCTCGTCCTCGGCAGGGTTGGGCGAAGACTGTTCGAGGTAGCGCAGGATGCACTGGTGCAGGAACACATACTGGGCCTGCGGGTTGCAAGGCGGGCAGTGGTGAGTGTGTGGAGGGGCCCAGCTCTGCCCCAGCCCACCTGGGCCCTCTCACCTCAGTCTGCACCATCAGCGGCCGGCTTCCCCTCATCTTCTTCACATACCAGAAGGGCCCCACGCAACCCTCAAGCTCCAGCTGCCGCAGGAGGACATCCAGAGCAATGAAGGTGCCTGTGCGGCCCACACCAGCACTGGGTGGGGACAGGAAGGGGTCAGTTAGGGATCCTGAGGATGGGGTGAGGTCCTTACCTAGGAACTTAGGCTACTGGACATTTACTCCAGGCTTCCCTGGAAACATGGTTTTCACCAAACTGGCACACGCTGCGCAGTGAGTGGCTTGTCCCTCCCCTGGGAGGCCTTTAATGGCACTGGGCGGCCAAACTCAGCAGTGCCTAGAGCTGACTCCTGGTGAGTTCAACAGACAGTATAAGGTGCCGGTCATGAGGTGCATGCAAGGCACACTTGCCCCCCTACCTGTCTTTCGTTCCTCTTCATAGCAGGTTTTGCTCTCAGGTGATTTTACAATAGGGGGACACACGGAGCATATGAAATACATTTCGGTGACTTCAGTGAGACTGGTGGACACCAGAAGGTTGTTCAAAATGAATTTTGGGGAGACACCAGTTGTATGTAGCATAGGGTTAAGGGGCGTGCCTCAGCAGTCACAAACCTAATTTGATCCCCGACACCACCTGGTCCCCTGAAAACAGACAGGTTTAGTCCTGGTAGCCCCTGAATCCCACGGGGCTTCCCGGGTAAAGGCGGGCACCACATGGCCCAGGCAGCACCAGAGCCTCATATCTTGCATTGAACCACCAGCTACTTGACCGACAATCACTGGAAATGGCCCCCAGGCCTCCAGAGAACTGCTCTGGAAACACCCAGAGCTCCCCAAATCTCATGTGTGGGCCAGGGATGTAGCTCAAGCGGGAACATATGCCTAGCATGCGTGAGACCCTGAGTTACATTCTATGACTCCTTGACCCCAAGGACTATAGAGAATGACCCCCACAAAACAGTAACTAAACTCCTGAATATCAAAGGAAAGTCATGGGGGTTGGAGTGATAGAACAGTAGGGAGGGTGTTTTCCTGGCACATTGCTATCCCAGGTTCCATGCCCAGCACCCCATATGATCCTCCAAGCCCTGCCAGGAGAGAGCCCTGAGCACTGCCAGGCTGCTGGGTTGGGGGGGAAAAAGTCAGATGGATTTACAGCTGCAAAGCAGGGGAGGATACTCCTGCCCCCCTCACCCTGTGCCCTCAGCTGTGATGACAAATGGCCCAGCCTGGACTTCTATCACCTCTCCACCCCTTCCCCACCTACAATGTGGACCTCTAGCCAGTCCATCTGCAGTCTCTCATTATTCTTGGTAATGTCAACTTTTCAGGTTTTTTTTAGTGGGGAGCCCACATCGTGCAGTGCTCAGCAGATACTCCTGGCTCTGTGCACTGGGATCACTCCTGGCAGGCTCAGGGATCAAACCAAGGGTTGGCCGTGTACAAGGCAAGAAAGCTCTGGTCCAGGAAAACTCAACTTTCAGCGAAGCGATCGGGATTGCTAGAGTGAAGGAAGGGACTATGCAAGTACCATTCAGTGCTCCTCCGTATTCAGAAGCGGCAGTGGGCCCAAGTGGGTCGAGGACCTGGCCCAGCACATTGCCTGAGTGGCTGAGTGGCAACCCACACAGGAGCCGTCGCACAGTGGGGAGGGCGCCAGCTCTGCGCATGACTCACCTGGGCTTTATCCCCACCGCAGCACCCCATATGGCCCCTCGAACCCTGCCAGAAGTGATCCCTGTGTCCAGACCAGGGGTCAGCCCTGTGCATGGCTGGGAGGACCCAAAAACAAAACCAAAACAATCATTCCCAAGAGGTGCTTTCATTTTGATTGTGTTTGTTTTGGGGCCAGACCAGTGGTACTCAGAGTTTATTCCTGGCTCTGCACTCAGGAATTACTCATGGTGGTGCTCAGGGGACCATACAGGGTGCTGCAAATTGAACCCGGTCGACCTCGGGCAGGGCATTTAAATGCCACACCTACTGCATTGGCACTCCAGACCCGTTTTTTTTTTTAAACATAAGATGACCTGTTCCAAAGAGAACATTTAGCACATGGACAAACAATGCAGCAAGGTGACCACCTATCTGAGACACTGTCCTCCTGCCACAGGGCCCTGGTGCCTGTGTCACCCTCAGTCCCCAGCCCCTCTTGGTGTTCTGACACTGGCTAACCTAGCTGGGTGTCTGCTGGTAATGGAATCAGACACCATGTGACTTTTGGGCTGGGTCACTGAGTTTAGATACAGGAGGCCTGAACCAGGGTCTGCTCCTCTTTCTGGCTCAAGCCATGGTGTAACTTCTGCTGGAGGTGACAGGAAAGTCCTATGCCCAGACCTACCATCAGGACGGGCGGGGAGGCTGTGTGAGGGGCCCAGCTGAGGCCACCCTGGCATCAAGCAGGAATGGATTGAGCCCACGGATTAGCTTC